AATACAGCAAGAACCATTGGTAACTTGGACATGTCTTACCTCTTTGTTCTCATAGCTTTCCACAGAAAAATCATTTTTAACCACAACATATCTGTCCTTCCATTTCTTTATGTCTTCTGCAAACTGTGAGAGCTCTGCTTCATATAACACGGTTCCAGGTTCCAATGGTGGCTTAAAGAAGATAATACAACTATCACAGCAGGATACAACATGCCTTGCTATCACTAAGTTATTCATTATTTCAAGGAATACTTTAGCAAAGTGCACTGTGCAGAGATCCTAATGAGACTGTTGCTTCCCCTTCTCCTCCATAATTTCCCCTTCCAACTCCTTTGACCAAATGCAAATATTTGTATTTTTATTATTTTCATTTTCCTCTACTATACCCTAGGTACAGAAGCATATAGTAGAAAAGATTACAGTAATAAGGTTTGTGCTTTCTTTACATGTGGCACTTAATAAATGCTAGGTAAACTGTGGAAAAGAAGGAGTGATGCAGTACAGCATAAGCTGAGCACACTTACCCAATGCCCTGACATACCTCAGAGTTAATTCGGAAAATTAGATCATTAACAGGCTGTTCCCCCTCTTTAGCGTACCATCAGGCATACTTCAAGAGATGATTAACACTTCACTAATCCATGTGTTCTTCAAGGAAACCACATGTGGTTAAAGAACAAGGAGCCATCAAGCCAGGAAACCTCAGTTCTACCTCTCTTATTTAAAAGGCTGAGCATCTCTCATTAACTTTGTTATATGTGCTGTAGGAAAATTTCCATCAGGTTTCTAGTTAGATCTTTCACAGGGTTTACTACATGAGGATAATTTGAAACCTGGTTCATTGTGCAATTCCCACGTTATTTCAAAGTATAGGAATGGGTCTCTTATACATGTCACTGAATTTACATATATTTCCCCCAAATTAAAAAATTATAGTGCCTTCAGAAACTTATCTCTTTGCATTCAAGCCAAAAATGTACATGAACCATACAGAGAAGATAGATAAGCCTATTTCTTTTGAGAATTGTCTGAGGGATGAAATAAATTCCCTTCCTAATTTCAGTGCTTAAAGTCTGTCCTGACAGATAATGAGGCAATCTCCTGTCTGACCTCATTAAAAGAGGAGAAAGGACCTCACTTCTCTCTAAATGAGGCTGAAACCATGGTACAAGCTGAACTTTATAGTTCTTACGTGCAGCTTTTCTCAAACTTAGACCACTTAATCAACAGGTAAGCACGTTAAAAATGTGGCTTTACCCTAGACTTACTCTATCAGAATCTCTAAGGGAATGTATCAGAATCTGCATTTTTAACAAGCTCTCTAAATTTTGAGAGTCACTTTTTAATAGGGATAATAGTTATTCCTGCATACCCATGCTACTGAATCTATTAGTTAATCTCTGAGAAGTATTAGACTCACTTATCACTCATTCCTTTTTGAAAACCCTTCTTTATTTGCCTTCTGATACATTACACTTTCCTGATTTTTCTCCTACTCCACAGGCTGATCCTTAATCCATTTGGCTGGATCCTTCTCTTTCTGATCTCCAAAGGTTTGAGGAGCCAATGCACTACTTTTTTTTGTTACATCCTCCTTCAAGAATACCATATGGCTTTACTACTGGTTGTAAGATAACACTCCTAAACTTTTATTCTGCAGGCTCACTCTCCCAAAGGCTCATGTGTTCAGAGGTGGAACTATGTGTTCATGGGGGTGCTATACTCATCAGTGGATTAATCCATTTATGAGTTCTGGGCTGAATGTGCTGTTAGGAAGTGGGGCTTGGGTGGAGGAGGTAGAATAACCTGAAAGGGTATATTCTTGTTCATGAGTCCCTTCCTCCCTTTCTGGCTCTTCCTCATTCTCTCTTTTTCCTGACTGCCAGATTGTGAGCAGCTTTGCTCTGCCATGATGTTTCTTCTGTCTTTGAGCCATGGACTGAAACCTCTAAAACCATGAGCCAAAGTAAATCTTTTCTCCTTTACGTTGTATGTGTCAGGCATTTTGTCCCAGCAATGGAATGCTGACAAATACAATATTCAACTGCCTATTCAGTATTTCCACAGTTACATGTTGAATAAGTATGCAAACTTTAATATGGCAATACTAAACTCATGATTTTTTTTTATCTCTGATTCTACCTTCTAACTGAAAGACGAGTCCATCTACTTATTTACTCTGGTTAAAAATTAAGAAACTATCACTGATGTCTCTCCTTTTCTTTTTTTGTTGAAGAAGTTTCACTGTGTTTATGTACACATAATGCTTACACACCAAGTTAATGTCACGATATTACACTTCTGTGAAGTCAAATTTGCAAAAAATGCATGAAACAAAGTATAATTTTTTGAAAATCTAAAACAATTTATACTCTTGATATCACAAATAATGCAGAGATGAAATACACAGCATAGCAATTTGTAAAAAAAGAAAAACTACAAAAAGAAAAGTTAACATTTGAAAAAGTATATTACAAGGACAGGTTATGGGAAAATGCACTGATAGTCTGTCAGAACCGACCAACATTTGTGATCATTAATTACATTTTGAAGTTTTACATTGCAAATAGCTGCTGTTTTCTTTTAGGGTGTGGCTCTCCTCAAAGAGTATTTTTCACATTCATTTTCTATATGATGTTGCTCTTTAAAAAAATCTCCCTTTTCTTTTCTCACAGCAAATTCTGTAGCTCTATCATAAATATTTCTTCCCACAACCACTACCCGCACTATCACCCTAGTCCAATTCACCATCACCCTTCTCTTAAACTGATGTGATATTTTCTTTGCCAGTTGCCAAGCAACCCCCCCCCCCCCCGCAACAGTCTCTTCTCTACAGAGAGGCCAGAAAGATCACTTAAAATTATATGTCACTCTTGGGCCGGGGATTTAGCTCAGTGGTTCCACCGCCTGTCCCGCAGGTGCAAGGACCTGAGTTCGATCCCCGGTACCAAAAAAAAAAATTATATGTCACTCTGTATTCAATTCCTTCCAATGAGACTTCCCATCACACTTAAAATCAAATATGGCCTACAGATCTACAGGATCTGCTCTCCGCCTGCCTACCTGCCTGCAGTCACTGTTCCTGCTCTCCCTTACAGTGCTGGAGGTAGACCAGCCTTTCTATACTGAGCTGTAGGGCCTTTGCACTTGCTATCCCATCTGCACAGAATACTCTTCCCACAAATGCTACCCAGCCTACTCTTGTTTCATTCTAGTCATTTCAGATGCTGTCTCCACAGAGGGCTTCCTTCCTTCTTTCTTTCCTTCCTTCCTGTCAACTTCTCCAAATAATACTCTTGCTTTACTTTTGTTTGCAGCACTCACTATTACACCATCTGATACTCATTTGTGGCTTTGTTGTTGTTGTTGTTAATTGTCTATCTACTATGTTTGAATATGGATTCTAGGAAGGTAGATGATTTGTCTTATGCCTCATGTCTTGGAATATAACCTGATACCTGATATTAGGTGCTAAATATTTGTTAAGGTTAATTATTCTAACAGAGCAAAGAAATAAGAATAAATTAAGAGACTGAAAGAGAAAATCATATTGATCAATGACCAAAATAAAAATGCCCATAGCAGTGGGCACAGTGGCACGAGGCTATAGTCCCATATTCCCAGCTACTGAGGAGGCTGAGGTGAGAGAATCAATGGAGCCCAGGAGACCAGCCCAGGCAATCAGAGCAAGTCTTCATCTTAAAAAAAAAAGTCCATAGCACAAAGCACAGAAATTGACTTTTTAAAAAAGCTGAACTTCACTACAACAATGTAAATTTCCTGCTATGACAGCATCAATGAGGGAAAAACAACTAAATTGGAATAGTGCTAGCTTTCTTTTTATATGGATTCCACTATCCATAAGAAATCACATATATCCTAACTTCTAGGCAAATAGAAACTTTTGAGCATGAAATTATGTCAGAGCAGATTTTTCAACTGGCACTAAAATAATTATTTCTGAATATTATGAACTACAAAAATTTCTTCCACAGGAGAAATACATGAACCAAATGTCCACTGTTACCTTGGTCTTCAAAAATTGTGATGTTGGATCTCTTTGTTGTTCTACTTCACTCCGCACATGGTTGCAGAAAGCCACTGAGTACTGCCGACTGTAATAGGGACTGAAGTTTTTAATAGCAGCCTCAGTTTTCCCTGGAAAAATATAAAAATTAGATTCTGAAATGTAGCACATCTCACAGAAGAGACATCTTATCTACATAATTCTATAAACATCCCTCCCATCTCCATAACCCCACTGTTTCCCAGGGATTTGTTATCAGGCTGTGTTCCCCAAGAACTTGTCACCTTCTGCACATAATTGGACCTCTCCTTCCCCTTCTGGTATTATCCTAAGAGACTTCAAGGACCCTAGGGACCATCCTCCAGTAGCCAAAATGATTTTTCTTCATTGTACATTACACTATTTGCCATGGCCACAAATGGAACCACTCTTCTAGTCCTTCTAAGGTTGATCTACCTCACCCTCTCGCCACTTTAGTTTGCTCATTATTCTCCTCTACTGCCAAACATTCAACTCCTTCCACACAATAATAATCCCTTTAAACTCTACATACACATGCCTTCATTCCTCTTTAGACCCCTGAGGCTCCATCTCTAGTAGCTGACCTATAGTTCTGGAGAAAACTAACAGTTTCCTCTGGTTGTGCTCCTGTGCTTTGGGTTTAAAAGACTTTTGTGATTACATAATTTCAATGAGGTACAAGGGAAACTCTGGTGCACAGTATGGAGACCTGGGTTGAAATTCCATTTGTATTTGTGACACGGAAACCAGCTGTCTCCTCAGCTGAGTCACTCAGCCCTTCAGGCTCCAGCATCCCTGACTGTGACGGGAGATGCTCACTGGTCCACACTTGGCATTGAATCCATGTGACATGAAGTATAATCATGGAGGTACAGCTGGCTGCCAGTAGTGACCAGCAGCTATAATATAGCCTCTCTCATCAGACACAAATTAAACTGAGTATCCACCAGTCAGGGAAGCATGAGGAGCAGAGCTGGAGGGACAGCAAGAGTCAGGCACTGGAAACAGTCTTTTCCAACCCCTGCTTAGGTTTGGCTATGGGAGATGAATAAATGGGGAAGAAAGGGCAAAAGAGCACTTTTAAAGCGGATTAGAAATCTTCCTAACATTTCAAGTACTTGACACAGAATACAGAAATAAATACAAGTTTCACTGTCAATGTTGACAAGCAGTTGTGCTTATGAAATAGGATATTAGCTTGAGGAAAAATAAACCTGACAGAACATTCCAAAATATTTTTAAATACTTCATGTGAATCTGGCACAATTTTTGTTTTTCAAATTTGACGCTACAGTCAACAGAAAGTACTAAAATATAACAACATTTTCTGACCTATTATGAATGTAAAATTTTTAGAAATAAGTGAAGAATTGTAACCATGTATACTGAGATACTCAATAAAGTAAACCTTGAATCCATAGCTTCCTGTTAATGCTTAAGAAATCAAATCCCAAAACACCCAAAGTTTATGATGAATGCCTTCTACAGACAGAGAATTCTACTTTTGCTCAGGTATTTCACTCTTATGATATATGTGAGATAAAGACGAAATCTTTTACATTCCCTTAATGAAATGACATTTCCTGGTCATATTTATGGGCTTTAATAATTATTACTTGTAATGTCCTTGGAGACCCAGTAATAATAGATTCTGTAGACGTGTAAATAAAAGCCTCTATAATTTGAATTAGGCATGCTTTTCTTGTTCTGTGAGTTTACGGCATTAAAATTAATCAGCATTTGCATAATGCCTTAATATACCCAGGCTTTATACCCATCTGATCAGTTAATAGTTTATTAGTTTTATTACATTGCATAAGTAGTAAAATTCTGTATCCTTGTCTGTAATTTTCTTACAAAAGAGTGGAGTATCTTTGAGAATTCCCACAACACAAATGAGTCTCACTTTACTAAAACATATAAATGATTAATAACAAAATGTGCCCTTTAGCTCCAAATAATCAGTTTGTATGATCAGCAGAGCAGCCTATTAATTGCTGACGCTAGTTTTTGCACTCTTGCAAGCAACTGGACTCAAATGAAAGAAGGTGTCATTTTACAACGAATTCTGCAAAGCTTTGAAAGCTAATCTGCTGCATCACCATGCCTCCCCCCAGTGACACCCTGCTTCTACAGAGGTGCTATGATGCCCCATTACCTTACAACATATGAGAAAAAAGCTTCTGTGGTTTGAAAATCTGTATTAGTCCCATCACTGTGTCATTCGAGAGGTAGCACTTAAAAAGAAAGGATCACAGCTTTCTTAGGTACTGTAATTAACCTAATGGCCAGTTCAAACTGTGAATAAAATAACTAATAATATCACAAGTTCTATGGAGAAAAGAAAGCTATTTTCCATTGTATTTGGATTTTACATTAAATCTATCTGAACCCAGAAAAAGGACTCTAGTCAGATAAACGTGGTTTCAGTCCCATCTCTGCTACTCAACCAGTTGTGAGACCTCATATGAGTTACTTTTTCTTCCTTCTTACATATAAAGTGAATATAACAGAAGCCACATCATAGGGATATTGTAACAATTATATAAAACAATACAGTAAAGTGCCCAGCATGGTACATGGCACATAGAAGTGTTCAAAAATTGATAGTAATTAAAATCATGACCACAGTGGTGATAATGGAATCCCTCCAGCCAAGTTCTAAGAGGCAATCCTCAAGCTGAACAAAGGAATCAAGAACTCAAAAAGCAAGTTGTCTACCATCACTCTTGAACTGGAAACATCCTAATCTGCTGCATAACAGAACAGCCACCCACCCCGGTAGGCTCAAAACAAATATTACCTCCATCTTCACAGATGTTTCAGCACAAGAAGCCCTCAGTGCATCCCTGAATTAAGATTAACTAAATAAACCATTGGCATTAATGAGCTGAGAGCAAAAAATCATGAGTTAATAGGTGTATTATATTGAGCCTCTCCAAGCATCAATTTTCTCAATTTCGACCTATGGGAGATGTCCATATCGGAGGATTTTGTGAGGAGTAAATGAAATATTTCACATACAAAGAAGCATCTAGAATAGTGTCTGACCACATGTTAGTTGATCAATGAATTTTGACTATCATTTAATATTCTACAGTGAAATATTTAAATCAGCAGATCAGCTCATAGGGGCCACATAAAATAAACTCAGCAGAAACAAGTTTGTTTTCCAGTTTTCAAGATTTGTGAATATTGAATTTCCCCCAAATTAAGTTTGACATCCTCTTTCCTAAATTGTTTGCAAAACACAGTGCCAGGTCTTCCTTGAGAAGGAGGTTACTAGATAACAGAAAGACTAGACAAATGGAAGGGCTTCTTCTGCATTTTGGAATATGGGCACTTTTGACACAGGCATATTTCTTCAAATCTACTCAACTATTACAACATGTGGTGGGCACCGTGTTAGTACAATTCATGTGATCAGGCTGCTTGAGACCCCCTCAGAGTAACCCTCACTAAACTCAAAAATCTCCCGTCAACAGCTCTGCCCACAAAACTTAGCTGCACTTCACTTTGTAAAAATAAGAAAAGTACCTGCTGGTCCTTTGAAAGCCCTTTTAATACATACAGACTCAAAAATTCAGCACTTTTAACTCTCATCAGATCCTGTCATTTCTCTTTCTATAATATTTCTTGAATCCATCTCAACCACCATACCTTCTATCAAACCTTTATGATAATATAAAGCAACTGTAAAAATCTCTTAACCTGCCCTACATCAGCATCATGGCAAGGTGAAAAATTTTAACTAGATCTCAGCTTTGAATCAGGAACAAAAAAGCTAAGAACACAGTGGAAGATGGAATGCAAGGGCTGATACACACATCATGGATGACTGTGGGGAAGAAGCCAAAGCTTGGTTCATGGAACAAAGGTAGATTCTGAGAAGGGCCAGCGTCTGGGGCTAATGGGGTAACACAGGAGAGACCGAAACTAAGCTGGCCACCTTGGTCTCACTCAAGATGACACAGGTACAAATTACCAAGTCCGGGTATTACAGTGGGAATCCATCCTTCAGAACCAACTCATGGCACTGAGTGTCACTGATGCTAGGGAACTGCTGAAAGTGATAAGGGGGCATAAACCTCACCAACCATAGAGGTACAGGCATAAGAATCATGGCTTGCCAAGTTTCATTCGACATATTGCTGCCAGACTTTAGATTCATAAAAACCCCTTAACAGTTTCCCCATTGGGTAGACGAGTAACTCCTCCACCTAGCACTGAAGGGAATGGCTCCAACTGTCACTATTTTTCAGCTCTTCTTCTCAAACTGAATCTCCTTGTCCCTTTGGATCTCTATGCATAACCAGCCTTCTCTCTTCTCATTTTTCCTTATTGCGCTACCAGTCATTTTCAGAATCTTCAAGCCCAGATGGCAATCCCAACCCCCAAAACAAGCCTTTTTGGATCACCCCAGCTGCAAACAATCTTACCTTCTTTTGCATTCTCACCAAACTCTGTACTACTTTTGCTACAGCTGTTTAAATATGGCTTATCTCTCCTCCAAGGGCATACTGTACTTATATAATCAGCAAATATTTGCTGAATGAGTGAAAGAATAGCTGAGTAAATATTCAAAACTAAATCTAATTACAATGCACAGTAATAATAAAATCGGTGTCGATGTTCCCAGAAAAGGAGAAAGGTACAGTTTTAAGCTTCAATATTTATTATAAAAAATATATATTCTCAAAGATCAACACACATTTGTTTACAAAAATCAGACTCTCGTGGGTTAATTCCATTTAAGCTTTTAAATGAGCTTTGTCTATGAAAATATTTGTGGAAAATTATTTACAAACAAAATCCCTTCCTGATTTGTTTTCCTTAACAAGTCTAGAAACATGAGAACATATATAATATATATATATAGTTAAAACCTACATGAGGGGCCGGAATGTAGCTCAGTGGCACAGCGCCCGCCTGGCAAGCCTGAGGTCCTGAGTTTGATCCCCAGCAGCGCCCCCCCCAAAAAAACCTACATGAAATCTCAAGGACCAGAATTTGTATATTTTCTCATTCTAGGAGATTCTTTTTTTAAAAAAAACAATTTTATTGATACATTCCAGGTATACAATATAATGACATTCATCACTGGAATTCA